ATTTCTTTCGACTGTACTCCATATATAACTGGGTTGAGGCTGCCGGTAATAATGTGAAACAGAATGGCCATGAGTTTTCTGTACTCTGTCGTCTCAGGGAAGCGATGGAGAACAATGTTGGACAGTCCACAAAACACCATAATTAGAAACAGCACCAGGTGAGTGCTACAAGTCTGCAGGGCCTTACTGTTCAGTGACTTGTTCTTACTGGTTAGACAGACTATAGTGATTCTAGTGTAGGTAAAAACAATGCTGCCAATAGAAGCTGTGAACAGAGCCACAGTGAAGGTGAGGCCATAGACATTATTTATGACCACACTGTCACAGGAGAGTTTAAACAGTGAAGCATTGTCACAGTAGGACCCTTTGATCAAAGTCCTGCATCTGCTGAGTCTTACAGTCAAACCAAGTAAAACAGACACTAAGACTAAGGCCACCCCCCAGGCAGAGACCGTCAGCTTGATCACCATTCTGTTGGTCATTATGGAAGCATAACGCAGTGGTTGACAGATGGCCACGTATCTGTCAAATGCCATAATGATGAGAATGGTGTGAGTGGTAGTGCCATACATGTGTGTGGTGAAAGCTTGAACCACACATTCATAATAACTGATGAGTCGTTCAGAGGAGGGTCGCAAAATGTCTAGCAGCAAACGAGGCACTAGGATAGAATTTCCCAGAATGTCATTTAGTGGTAGGTTGGAAAAAAGCAAGTACATTGGCTGGTGAAGACTTTTGTCCACAAAAATCAGAACCACAATTCCTACATTAGTAACAATTATGAAAATGTAGGAGAACAAGAAGATCAGGAACGTTGGATATGTCATTTCTTCAGAAAGAAGAAGCCCCTCCACTTGGAGTGTGAAACTGTTGTACGTGTAGTTTTCCATCATCCTGAAAAACAATCAGAAATAATTCTAAGTGATTATAACACCATTGCAGTTAAGTAATTAAAAGCTAGTTATAGTATGTTAGTTTCATAATTGCTGTGCAAACATTTTCATATTCATTAAAATGTAAAAATCGACTAATTCATGAAAGCCACCAAACCATTATGTCAACAGCCAAAAATGTTCAATGTTCAAAACATTTTAAAAATTAGATTAATTCAGTCAGTAATCAGAAAACAGAAAAAGCAAATAACACTCACATTTACTGCCTCACCCTAATATTCTTTGTCTCCACCCTCACCACTGGCAGTGGCAGTTCACACTAACACTGAATCTGAATCTGTGCTGATGTTTTATAGATGCTATTATCATTGGTCAGCTAACAATCCTCATCACCTCAGATAAACAATGATGCAAGACTTAGAGGAAGGAATGAGTATTTAGAAACAGAATGTCCTAGACTTGTTTAAAATGCAGTGAAGTGAGAAAGTTAAAAAAAAACTACTGTGAACCTTCATTTTAAAGCAACAAGAAACATTTTTGGTTCTCTGTAAAAAGGCATTTATCATGAACACCCCATCCCTATTATTTTAAAGTAATTGGAAGCCTGAACAAGGTGGGAGCAGGTCGTGCATCAGAGGATGGATGGGTAGACCTCTGGCAGGCTGAGCCCCACTGCGTCACCTTCCTGATTTGGGGTGGTGTATAATGTCATGCAGCTGAGTGAGTGCACAAACCTGGCAACAGCAGGGATCCTGCCAAATGCCCAGGATATTGGATCTTGATATCAACAGCCACAGCACATTACATGCACCAACCTGAGGCCAGACAGACAGACAGACAGACAGACAGACAGTCAGACAGTCAGACAGACAGACAGTCAGACAGACAGACAGACAGACTGATACCGTATTTTTCGGACCATAAGGGCGGGCATACATTGTATGGTTTTAGCCAGTTTTGACCCGATTTTTGAGACATACAACCTGGTGACGCTTGGCCCAATTTCACGTTTTTTTTCGGGCGTCTTTTTCGGCAAAGTGTACAGGGGTAACGAGGGCCGATTATCTGTTCCTGAACCACCGTCGGACGGTCGGAAGAATTATATTAATTACATTATAAGGCGCAATATCAATGTCAGTTGTGCAACCTACAGTCTTGGTATGTGGTGGACAAATAAAAGTGTGTCACGGTAGATAAAGGTTTTCGGCCCATGTATATAGTACATATAAGTATATGGTAGTGTAGTACATGTATAATGCCATATATGTGGTTATTGAAGGAGATGGACACATTTCAAATTTGATCACAAAATGACTTTGAGGACATTGCGTTTGTTGAGTGCGTGAAGCAGCCAGACAGTGTGTGACATGAACATTTCATGAAGATACAGAATCAGACAGGTTAGACTTTTATTGTTTGTCATTAAACAACATAACACATTTAGCATCTTCAGAGGCCAATTGAAGATGGTTGTCAAATTCAAAATGTATTAATAGAAGCAGTGATTAATGCTGATAACAATGATTATAATATTAATGCTTGTCAGTGTTAATAATTAAATTATTAAATAGATCCTGTTTGACAACCATTGACACAGAACACAGCAGTGCAATCCTGAATCACATGTAATTTTACTTAATGGTTGTGCAAAGTTTCTTAGACTTCAACAGTTTAGAAAAGAAACTGCGTATTTCTTTGGACTGCACTCCATAAATAACTGGGTTTAAACTGCTGGGAATAATGTGGAACAAAAGGCTGGCGAGTTTTCTGTACTCTGTGTACTGAGGGAAGCGGTGTAAAATGATAATAGCAAAGCCACTAAATATCAGCACCAAATATACAACCAGGTGAGTGCTGCAGGTCTTTAGAGCTTTTGTGTTTAATGACTTATTCTTACTGGTTAGACATACGATGGTGATACTACTGTAGGTCACAATGGTGCTCCCTATAGAGGCTGTGAACAGGACAACAGTGAACGTGAGGCCATAGACATTATTAATGAAGACACTTTCACAAGAGAGTTTAAAAAGATTGGGGTTGTCACAGTAAGGACCTTGAATCCGTGTTCTGCACCGGTTCAGCCTTATGGTCAAACCAAGCAGAATACCAACCAAGACCAAGGCCACCCCCCAGGCAGAAGCTGTCAGCTTCATCACCATTCTGTTGGTCATTATGGTTGCGTAGCGCAGGGGATTACAGATGGCCACGTATCTGTCAAAGCCCATGATCATGAGCACAGTGAGGCTGGCCGTTCCGAACATGTGTGAGGTGAAAGCTTGAACCACACACTCGTAGTAACTGATCAGGCGTTCAGACGATGGACGCACCATGTCTAAAAGCAAGCGAGGCACCATGATAGAGTTTCCTAGGATGTCATTGAATGGCAGATTGCAGAAAAGCAGGTACATTGGCTGATGCAGGTTTGTATCAGCAAAAACCATGGCAGCAATGCCTATGTTGGTGAGCATTATGAACAGGTAGGACAAAAGGAAAAAAAAAAAAACAGGGTAGAAAGAGCCCTGTGAAACATTCAGGCCTTCCAGCTGGAGCATGAGGCTGTTGTAAGTGTAGTTTTCCATCCACCTGAATTAGAAAAGTACTTTTGTTAGCTCTTTAATGATTTTTTATTAATTGATTGAGTAAATAATTACCAAATATAACTTACAACAGGTAAATATCAGTACACAGTACAACAGGTGATTAAGCAAGATAAATACAAATACTGAAACTGAAAGTGCTTTACAAAAGTAGCACAGGTGTTTATAGATATTGTTATCACTATCATTTTTATTGTTGTTATCTGTCAGTTGTTGATGCAGAAAATTAGTGTAAATATTTAAAACCTTTAAAGTCTCTTGGCTTCCTAGAAAGAAGGTTGTTTTTTTTCTCTCCTGTTAACAATATTATTTCATCCTTACAAATCACTACGGTTTCCTTCTGTTTTTTTAACACAAACATTAAAAAAAGAATAATTCATTTAAAGCTAAGAAAAGTAGGTATACCTTCAGTAGTGTGTTGTTTTTGTTCAGTTGCTAATGTTGAATCTTGGAGTCACAGTGAGCAGTATATTCTCTAATGAACTGTTTTATAGCCTCAAACTTAACTTTAGGGAATTGACTCATCAGTACACGTTAACATTGTCGTCTTAGGATGATGAAATACACCTTTGTGACTGGAAAAAATATTTTTTTCTTTCAGTTCAGTCCTTGACATGCATCAGTGATTAGTTATTTTATTTGGAATTTGGTTTGCATACATAGTTAAACAAAAGAAATTCTCATATTAAGTGAATATGGATAATGAAAAGAAGTTAACCAAACAGTATTACACTTCATATATGTTAGATTTATTTTTGAGATGGAACTCACTGCTACTTTGTGTTGATCATTAGGTAACTCAAAAATATGACACAGACATACAAAAAAGAGAAAGTTGACACCCAAATGCTGTTTTTCCCCTTTTACTTGATCGTTTCAGAAGGGTAACAAATGGCACACAGGAGGGTATTGACCCCAGGTACAGAACTGTTGGTCCAGAAAGCAATCAGAAAACAGGGATGGAGGAGGCCAGTGCCAACATGTAGTGACAAAGATTATAACTTGCATAGAGCATGTTGAAACATACACTCAAAAATGGAAAACACAATTTTAATTTTTTTTTTTTTTTTTGAGGTAATTTACCAAATCAAAGGTAAATGACCTCAAAGTAGATTTGCTGATCACTGCAGCCATGTCTTCACTTCATGCAGTAAAAGGTGGAAATGAACAGAGAAAATTATTATTTTATTAAAATAAGACAAAAGGTACTTTTGGAATGGTATGTAGCTGAACATACTAAATTTGTGGAGACGTATGGAAGCAATTATAAATGTTGGTCTCGATTCTTCTTGGGCCTGAATATCTTATATAAATATGCACAAATCTCTTTGGACTGCATGCCGTAGATAACAGGGTTAAGACTGCCTGGGACTATGTAATACAAAATGGCAATAATTTTTCTGGTATATGTGAACTCTGGAAAACGATGCAAAATAATAATAAACAGTCCACTCAGCATCATGATCAGATACAAAACCAAATGAGTGCTGCAAGTCTTTAAGGCTTTACTGTTCACAGACTTGCTTTTACTGGTCAGACAGATGATGGCGATCTTGGTATAAGTGAGAACCATGCTCCCAATTGACCCTGAAAACAGGACGACAGTGAAAATGAGGCCATAGATGTTGTTAATAACCACACTCTCACAGGAGAGTTTAAAGAGTGCAGCGTTGTCA